AGCCGTTCCGCGGGAGAAAGATGAGGCTTTCTACTCCCGTAAAGATTTACACCCTCGGAAACCCTGTACAGGGTCGCTATGGGTCGGAACCGACTCATCGGCACTTAACAACAACAACAACCACAAATAAATATGTAGGCTGTATAAAACCACAATTAAAATACAGGAAGCCTATTTGGAAACTTAGAGTCCAGGTGTGGCACTGTGGATTAAAGTGCTGGACTGCAAGGTCAGTTTGAACCAAAAGGTCAGTGGTTCAAACTCACCAGCAGCTCCTTGGAAAACCTATACAGAGTCACTATGGGTTGAAACTGACTCGATGACACTTAACAACAACAACAATTTGGAAACTGGGCCTCAAAACTGAACCTGTGAGATCTTAATTTCCTCATCTGTTCATTAAATAAAAATATATTGTGGATCTTTCAAATAAGGGACACTATTCTAGGTGCAAGGCATACAACCAACAAAATTCTCAGCTCTTATGGAGTTTATATTTGTTGTTGTTGTTGTTGCGATGTACCGTGGAGTCGGTTCCGACTCATAGAGACCCTACACAGGGTTTCCGAGGCTGTAAATCTTTACGGGAGCAGACCGCCTCATCTTTCTCCCTCGGAGCCACTGGTAGTTTCGAACTGCTGACCTTGCGGCTTGCAGCCCGATTCGTAACTACTACGCTACCAGAGCTCCTTAGAGTATATGGAGTTTATATACTCTACAATAATCATTCCCACAGAAGAGACTCTGAAACTTGTTCTCTTTGTGCTCCAGTGTAGAGATACAAAAGCAAATGGAAGAAATGAGGAAGTAAAATCTGCACAGAAAATTTCAGAGGGCAGCTCAAGAAGACAAAGTCAAGCATTATAATGAAATGTGCAAAGACCTGGAGTTACTGGAATTAGAAAACGGAAAGGGAAGAATATGCTCAGCATTTCTCAAGCTGAAAGAACTTAAGAAAAACTTCAACTTGCCATACTGAAGGATTCTATAGGCAAAATATTGAATGATGAAGATGGAGGGAATGCATCGAGTCACTGCATCAAAAAGATATGAATGATGTTCAACCATTTCAAGAGATAGCACATGATCAGAGCTTAACTAGAGAAGAAAAAAGAGGAAAAAAGGAGTAATCTGATACAATTTGATGAACTTGACCTACACCTATGGATGCAGTAGCACAAAAGAGGGAACAAATCTTTACAGCGAGAATCATTCCCACCCCCTCCATACAAAGAGTAGACAGGGATGGGTAACATGGATATTGGCTACCCAAAATGTGGGGGCTACAAAGACAAGAAGTGACTGACTTACAGGCTTTCAAGAAGAAGCCTAGATCCAGAGGGTGTGGAGGAAGGTATAATCTCCACGGAGTAGTATCCAATCTGTCCGAGTGGGGCTGATGAAAGAAGATGTGGATAGGTCTCTTGTGATACAAGAATAATTGTTATCAGGACTGATTGTGAGGTTTGAAAATGTAAGGGTAGAGGTTTTGTAGCAAAAGAAGAGGAGTGATTGACTTTGCAGTCTAGGAGGGGAGGTCCCTGGGACCATCAAGGCAGAAGAGCAGAGAGTGGAACCCTACCCAAAGAAGCAGTGGTGCCAGAGATGGAGGCAGAGATGACGACGTAGAGAGATGGAGCAGCTAAGGACTCCCTCCAGAGAGGGAGAGGAGCTGTGTGCTGATGACCAGGGGGCAGGCTTGCAGGGTATACCCTTTGGTTGGTTGATGATGCATGGAGTGGATTGTAACCATGACAATGAAGCGATATATGAATAGGATGAATGTAAAGCTAATGTTCTCCCATGTAAACTATCACATAATTAATAATAAAACATTAAAATAAGAGAGAGAGAGAGCACATGATCAGGCGCCAGTATTGAAGGTAGAAGTTCAAGCTGCACTGAAGGCATTGACAAAGAACAAGGCTCAGGAATTGATGAAATACAAATTGAAATCTTTCAACAAACTGATGGAACAGTAGAGGTACTCACTCTTCTGTGCCAAGAAATATGGAAGACAGCTACCTGGCTAACTGATTGGAAGAAATCCATATTTGTGCCAATTTCAAAGAGAGGTGATACAACAGAATGCAGAAATCATTGGACATATCACTGATACTCCATGATGGCTGCAACAGTACATTTACATGGTTCAAGCCAGATTCAGACAAGGACGTGGAATGAGGGACATCATTGTTGACATCGAATGGATCTTGGCTAAAAAGCAGAGAACACCAGGAAAAAAATGTTTACCTGTGCTTTATTAACTATTCAAAGGCTTTCAACTGTGTGCATCATGACAAGTTATGTATGGTCAACATTGCAGAGGATGAGTGTTCTAGAACATTTAATTGTGTTCTTGAGGAACCTGTCCATAGACCAATAGGCAGTAATTCGAACAGAGCAAGGGAACAGTGAACGGTTTAAAATCAGGAAAGTATGTACCAGGAGTGTAATCTTTCAACATACTTATTCAATATGTAGGCTGAGCTAAATAATCCTAGAAGATGGATTATATGAAGAAGAACATGGCATTAGGATTGGAGGAAGATTCATTAACAAACTTTGATATGCAGATGATACAACCTTGCTTGCTGAAGGCAAAAAGGATTTAAAATTCTTACTGATAAAGATCAAAGACCACAGCCTTCTGTATGGGTTGCACCTTAATGTAAAGAACACAACATTCCTCACCACTGGATCAATAAATAAGACCATGATAAATAGAGAAAGTATTGAAATTGTCTAATTCTGCTTGGATCCACACTCAACACTCATGGAAGCAGCAGTCAAGAAATCAAATGACATATTGCATTAGACAAATCTGCTGCACAATACCTCTTTAAAATGATCAGGAGCAAAGATATCAGTTTGAGGACTAACATGTGCCTGACCCAAACCATGGTATTGTCAATAATCTCATATGCATGTGAAAGTTGGATAGTGAATAAGGAAGACCATAGAAGAGTTGGTGCATGTGAGTTATGGTGTTGGAGGAGAATTTAAAAGTACCCCATGGACTGCCAAAAGAACAAACCAATCTGTGTTGAAAGTAGTATAGCTAGAGTGCTCCTTAGAAGCCTGGATGGCGAGACCTCATCTCTCATACTTCAGACATGTTATCAGAAGGGACCAGTCCCTGGAGAAGGACATCATGCATTGTAAAGTGGAGGGTTGGAGAAAAAGAGGCAGACCCCAAATGAGATGGATTGACACAGTGGCAGCAGTAATGGGACCAATGACTGTGTGGTTGATGCAGGACCAGACAGTGTTCCATTCTGTTGTGCATAGGTCTCTGTGAGTCGACACTGACTGGACAGCATCTAACAACAACAACAACAATGTCCTTTCCCAGTATCAGGAAAAAGAAATTAGTTTTTACTGAGTGGATCTTTCTTTTTAATTATAATCATAAAATTTTTTAATTGGACGGATCTTTAGGTTGCATTTCCTTGAAATCACGCTATTGCATGCTGATAAACCACAGCCAGGGGCACAGAGGTAGTTACTCACAGGTGTTAGACTGTAAAGCACAGTAATTAGGTGGCTCCAGAAAACCTTAAGACTGACTCATGCATTGTTTCAAAATTGGCACAGCCATTCCTAGGGTGATTAATTAGGCAATTCATTTTTTCCTTCAAGTAATTATCAGAAACGGAAGTCATGTTCTTTCCCTGATTATTGTTGTTAAGTGCAGTGGAGTGGGTTCTCATCTGAACCCTCTAGTATGAGGAGTCCTGGTGTGGCACTGTGGGTTAATGTGCTGGACTGGAAGGTCGGTTTGAACCTCAAGGTCAGAGGTGCAAGCCCACCAGCCGCTCCTTGGAAACCCTTGGAACCAACTAAACAACAGCAACAACATAGGGTTTCTGAGGTTTTAAAAATCTTTGCAAGAGCAGAAAGCCTCATCCTTCTTCTGAAGCGTGACTAATGGGCTCAAAATTCTGGCCCTGTAGTTCACAGTCCAGTGCTTATCCCACAGAGCCACCATACTTCCTGAGACTATTCTACTGGTGCACACAATCTCTCTGATGGATTAAATATTTATCTTGGTGTATGAAACCTTCACTCAGGGCTTCAGGAACTGGATGGAAGTGAAGAGACCCTCTTGCCAGGCCCAGGCCTTATTCCATGAAGAGGACTTGGAGGTCTTGCTAGCATGAGTACCCTGCCCTGAGGTTACACAGAACCATGGTACTTCTTTTTAAGATTGCTTGTGATTGTCAGTTGCCTAAGAAAGATTAATGCCTCTTAGCCTGCTTTCAGTAAAGAGTGTGAATTAGCAGAGTGAATAATGTTCACTCTAAGACTTTGATGTCGAGAAATTATGGTTATTTCTTTTTTTTTTTTTTTTGTATCACAAGAGACCCATCTGCATTTCATTGCATCAGCCCCGCCAAGTCAGATTGAATACTACTCACTGGAGATTTTACCTTCCTCC